TTCCAATTTTCTCCTATAGATAAAAATGATACTAAAGTCACCTGAACATGGATACTTCCTTGATACCTGTGCTATGACATCAGTGAGCAGTGTTCATGTTACTGGGCCATCTCCATCCCTCCCATTGAGAGGAAAATGTATGTCAGGTAAAGAAGCACTTAAAATCCATCTCTGTCACTTGCTTAGTTTATTTTACCCTGCTCTGTAGTTACCAACTGCACTCTGTTGCTGCTAAAACGACCACTGGCCTCTAATATTCAGGACAGTTGAGTTTAGACAGCCTAGTTTCTCTACCAAGAAGACAATTTCATAGAGAGTAAGGGTAGAAGACCTAACTTACAGTTCTTTTTCAGGTTTTTCAGCCACCTTTGGTCTGGATGGGGACGATCATTTCCAACAGTCTCTAGCTGGTCTCCCGCAGTTTCCTGCCCAGTTCACCCTCTGCCTTGCAGGAGTGACTTAGGCTGTTATCCTGTAGGGTAAAGTCCAAACTCCTAGCCTGATAAACAGGGTCTTCCACGGACCTTCCAGCCTTCCACTCTTCCAGCCTTGCCACGCCCTTCACAGTCCCCTAATTGCCTCTTTCCATTTCCAGTCCTCTGGACCTTTACACATGCTGGTATCTGCCTCCAACGCCTTTCTCTCTGTGCTCCCATGTGCCTAGTCAACGCCCTTCTCTCCGTGCTCCCATGTGTCAACGCCTGCTCTTCCTGAAAGACCCACTGGAGCACCACTTCCCACTGAAGGAATTTTTGTACCCCTTCTGTGGGTGTTGTACTGTGTAGACAGCTCTGTTCCAGCACGCATCCAGCACAGGGGCTGACCTCTCTTCATCTCTGCCTCCCCCTGCTTGGCCCAGTACCAGGCACACAGAAAGTGCTCCACAATGTTTGTGGACTGAAGGCTGAATGACCAGGTCACTGCTGCCCCACAGAGAGGCCTCTGAAGATAAAACAATGTGGAGAAATCATGTCGAGAATTCACTCATTCAAGAACAACTGTAGTGCACCTATACGTGCTATGGGAAATAGTTTTTTAAAGGGTACAAACCCGGTTCCCATTTCAAGAAGCACAGAGTTGCAAATAAAAGCTATATTCATTAAATAATCATACCAGGTGGTATGACCAAGTGTCAAGTAAGTTTCGACAACAAAAAATAACTGAGAAAGTCAGCCAGGCCTGGCTAGGACGCAATCCTAGGTCTGCCCCAGCCACTCTGGCTTTCTTATTGTTCCCCAAACTCTAACATCATGTCTTCTGTACTGTTTCCACTCATGACACTTCTGACACCAAATGTGTGGAGTTTTTCCCCACACCAACCAATGCTCACTCTCCAGACACTAACTGGGGGCCCTACGATTCAATTCAATTCCGACACCAACCATCTGGAGTTAGCACAGACCCCACAGGTAAGGGCTCAGGCCCACAAGAGTGCCCACACTTCACATGCCAGTCGCCGGGTCTGGGCCATCTGGACTCCTGACCAACTGTGAAGTCAGGAGTTTCCTACAATTGCCTCCTCAGGTTGGGTAATTTACTAGAGCAGCTCGCAGAACTTAGGAAAGCACTTTATTTACTATCACCAGTTTATTATAAAAAATACAGCTAAGAAACCACCACATGGAAAAGATATGGCAAAATATGGGAATGGAGGTTTCCAGGAGCTTCCACGTCCTTTCCAGGCACCACCTTCCCAACACCTTGATGCGTTCACCAACAGGAAGCTCTCCAAAACCCATCATTTAGGATTTTTAAGAAAGCTCTATTTGTGATCCACTGCGCTGGTTAAAAAAAAAACGCCAGGCGCAGTGGCTCACGCCTGTAATCCCAACACTTTGGGTGGGCGGATCACGAGGTCAAGAAATAGAGATCATCCTGGCCAACATGGTGAAATCCCGTCTCTACTAAAAATACAAAAATTAGCTGGGTGTGGTGGTGGGCGCCTATAAGCCCTGCTACTCAGGAAGCTGAGGCAGGAGAATCGCTTGCGCCCAGGAGGCATAGGTTGCAGTGAGCTGAGATCCCGCCACTGCACTCCAGCCTGGCGACAGAGACTACATCTCAAAATAAATAAATAAATAAAAATAAATAAAGATTTAAAGAAAGCTCTATTCTGCAGGCATGACTGATGAGATCATTGTCCACTGGTTACTGGCACAATCTCCAGAGGCTGGAGTACCGGGCTGAACACTCCAATCCCCTAATCACATGGTTGGTTCTTCTGGCAATCAGCCTCCATCCTGAAGCTATCTAGGGACCTATCAAGAGCCCTCTCATTAACAGAAACTCAGGTAGGGGTGAAAGAGATTTGTTATGAATAACAACAGATGCTCTTATCACCTTCCTTCAGGAAATTACAAAGGTTTGAGAAGCTCTACGTCAGGATCAGGAACGTGGGACAAGACCAAGTATATATTTCTTCTTACCACACGACTGCCTTAGGACTCTCACACAAGATGGTTTCTGAACCTAGGATACTTCTCCAAAATCTGAATCATTCAAGGCTCTACTCAAATCCTACCTTCCCAGAGAAATCATTCCCTGACCACCTACTTAAAACCGCATCTTCCTCTCCACCCAAGTCATTCCCTTACTCTGCTTTTTTTTTTTTTTTTTTTTTTTTTTTAGACAGGATCTTGCTTTGTCACTCAGGCTGAAGTGCAGTGGTAGGATCACAGCTCACTGCAGCCTCAAACTCCTGGGCTCAAGCCATCCTCCTGCCTCAGCCTTCAGAGCAGTCGGTTCAACAGGCACACATCACTATGCCCAGCTTTTTTTTTTTTTTTTTTTTGGTAGAAACGAAGTCTTGATATGCTGCCCAGGTTGGTCTTGAACTCCTGGACCCAAACTGCTTTATTTTCTTCACAGTACTAACTAGTACCTGAAATAAAGCCACTGAAGGAAACCAAAACATTTCACCTCAAAGTAGACTTACTTGAAATATTTTGAGATGGCCATTCAGAGGGCCTACAGACAAAACCAGTCCTACTGTGAGGGAGATGAGCATCTGTAGAGAATCTCCACTGATGCAGCCAGTTTTTCTCAGAGGACCCTTCCTTGTCTGGATCTGGGTGAGATCAGCTGAGTTTGGCATCTTCAGGGTCTGAAACATTTCTTTTCCCTGAGGGCTGCTACCTGTGAGGTTTCATCTACATAAGACCACCTTTGCTAGCCAGGTCTCCTCTTCTCTCCCTCCTATAACCTGATTTACAAACACAACCTGTTTTTGGCCAAGCTTAGAGCCCCCACTCTTTCTGTAACCTCAAGATAGTATAAAAGTGGCAACCATCTTGCCTTCCTTTGAGATCGTATTTTGTAAGACTCTCACGGCACATTAGTAAATGTGTATGCCTTCTCGCCTATTAATCTGCCATCTGTCAGCTGATTTTTCAGTGACGCTTCACGGGACACAGAAGAAGTTTTCCCTTAACTCCCACGCTATATATTTGTTTACGCCCTTTTTTTTCCTATCTCCGACTAGGATGTAAATTCATGAGGGCAAGGTCTTGGTGCTACCTAAATCCCCAGTGTCTAAAACGCCTGGCACATAACACTCAAAAAAAATTTGTTGAATAAATGTTGATAACAAGATATAATATCTACATCAAAGGGTTTTTGTAAGGATTAAACACAAGAGTGCACATAGAGGGATATGAGTGCCTAACGCAATGCCCAGCACACACACAGTAAGCTCAATAACGTTGGTCAACGCTATTATCAGAGGATTCCAGAAGACAGGTCAACATGGGCAGGAACAGTTACAGAACGTTTCAAGAAGGTGGCAGGTCTTGAGCTTGATTTGGAAGGATCAGGATTTTTTTGGGGACATTGTAGGAAGTTGAAATCTCCGCTGCACAAGCCACCGCTCCCAATACTTCTTCATACTCCTATCAAATGCATAGTCATCATACCGTACAAACCACCTACCAACCAGCCTCTCTCTGTCCATCCACTAATCCATTAGTTTTCATTTCTGTATCACTGGAGCCTAGATGAATTCACTACTAAACGGCACCCAGCAATGTTGCTGAATTAGTTTCAGAAATCTGTGGAAAAGAAACAGCCTACTGTTCTGTCCAGCAATCCAGGCCTAAGTATCTATCCTAAAGAAACAGCGTCAGCATTAAAAATCATGTACAAAGACGTTCACTTCTAAGAGAGAGAGAGGGGAAAAAAGTAGCAAACAGAATGTCCACCACTAGGAAACCATGAATAAACTATGATGCGTTCAAACTGTGCAGAGGTTGCACTGAATTAGACAGCTAGTGAAACAATCTCTAAGATATATTGTTAAACTGAAAAAAGTTAGAGAATACACATACGGTGATCTCATTTAGGTAAAACAAAAATTTTAACACCTCACACAAACGAAACCTAAAGATTTCTCTTCAGTGTGTGCATATTACATATAGATACATGTATCAACTCTTCAACATTGTGCCTGAAACATAGTAAGTTCTCAATAAATATCTGCCAAATGAAGACATACGTACATGAATAGAAAAATACTGAAAAATAGATCTGCTTTTCGTGCAAAATATTTCTGTGCTGTTTGCATTTTTAAAAGATTGTTTTAATGTATTACTTGTACAATTAAAATGAACTTAAAACAGTTATAAAAGTTCCAAGGCCTCGATATACCATATCTGGTCCAAGCACCAGGCTCTGAGTAACTTCTCCAGGTAACTAACTTCATCGTTTTGAGCCATTAGGGCTCTAGCACAGCAACTCGACGCTCACTTTACCTCTCCAGCATCAGATCCCTTAAAAGCATAAAGATGCATTTTGAGGTGTGGGGTTTTCCATCGTTCCCAAACACCAGTTGACCGCACGCTTTTTCTAAAGTGTCCTTTTCTCCCACGCCACGACGCCCCTGGAGCTGGGGGTCTGGCTCGGCCTTGTCTTCGCACCCCCGGGGTCGAGTAAGCGTAGGACATGGGGAGGGAAGTCCTCCTGGTGGGAGTGAGCTCGCTGCGCGGGAGCGGGGTAACAAAACTCACTTTCCGACTGGCCCCCTCTCTGGCAGTGATCTGTCTCTCCTGCTCAGGCATCGTCCCGCGCGGACACCGAATTCTTCTCTGATCCGGCTCAGAGCCAAAGGTCACCTGGTCGGCAGAGGAGAGTGTGGTGTTAAAATCCGGGGAGGGGAGGCGCGGAGCGCGAGGGCATCGGCGCGGCTCGTCTCTAATGCCAAGAGGGGTCCGGGAACCGCCCCTTAATTAGGGACCGGGGAAGCTGCAACCCTCGCCACACGGATGATTCAAAGTTGCGCGCCGCCGTCCTCCCGACCTGGGGGCGTGCGGATGAGAGCGCGAGGGGAGAGTGGGCCTCGGACCCTCGCCCACTCCCCAGGAGGCTGGGAGTGCCCGCCCTGGAACCGCCGGCCCCGCCGGTGCCTAAGTGTCCTCTGCCGTGCCGGCGCCGCAGGGCGGAGGCCAGTCCTCCTCCGCAGTCTCAGTCACCTCGCGCTAGTGCGCTCCGACACTGTACTGGGATCTCAGGCGTGTGCGGGAGCGGGAGGGCAGGTGAGCGCCGCAGAGGCGGGCCTCAGACGCAGCTCCCAGGGCTCACCCACCGTCTGCGGGGAAGGTGCCGGGTGGCGCCACGTCGGGTCCGCTCTGCGCTGCCCCCTCCTCGGACTCTGCGACTGACTGCCGGGCGCCGCGGGTCCCAAAGGAAGCAACCGCGGCGACAGTGAACTCCGCACCTGGAAAATCGATCCGCGGTGCGCAAAGGCCAGCCAATGGCCTCCAACGGGCGACCGGCTCTGGGCCGCCGAGGGGGGCAGGCGCCCAGGCGGGGGCTTCCAGTTGGGGAGAGGGGCAAGGGAAGGAGCGACGGCTGTCAATCACAGGCCACGCCCTCCTCAGCCCAACCCCCGCTGCTGTCCCGCCCAAGGGGGCGGGTGCCGTGTGCCACAGGCCGAACACTAGTCTACGTCTCGGCATATTCTATTGGCTGGAAGGCCGTGGGAAGCGGCTACCAGCAACCAATTGTAACGCGCAATTGGCCCGTGAGGGCGGAGCGAGCATGGCTCGCTTTCTCAGGAGCCAATAGAGAAGAGGAAAGTGAAGCGTTTCCTGAGTTCGGGGGTCGGCGGAAGATGGCGGACGGCGAAAGGAGCTGGTACCTGTGCAAGTTGTTGAGGTGAGGAGCCGGTCGTGGGGCTCACAGACGTTTTCTCTTCTGTAGTGGTACTTGCCCGTACAGTGCGGCTAAATTTTGCGAGTAAATGGCCTTCCTTGTCATGAATCTAAGGTAATTTCTCAGGCCAATGAGCAGTCTTCCTTTTTCTTGGGGGTGTTCTATATAGACTGGAACAGACTAGGTCTTAAAAACTCAATTTACCGCGTTTTCTTCTGTTTCACTGTTGGCTGAGTGGTCGAGTTACCTTTCCTGCTTCAGCTTTTTCTTTCTCTTTCACACTCCAGTTAGTCTGTCATAAATTATTCATATTCATTCCTCATTTTTCTTTACGATTGAGCTACGAGACATTTTCCAATCTATCATATCTCTCTTCAGTAAAGAAGAAACCGGATCTTCCTTCTCATCTCTTAGTTTCTCCTCTTAAACTCACCAAAACTGCCATTGTTAACACGTCACTTCAATATAAAGCTTATGTTGAATCCTCTGCTTTTTGATAATCTGTTATTTTAATTTTTATGATTGATGTAAGAAGTTGCATAAAATATTATTTTATTTGTATTACGTGTATACGCTGTTTCTTCTAGAAAAAGAATCTATCAAATAGATGAGTAAAAGGAAAAACCCCCCGGAGTGCTACCATCCGGAGATAGCCACTGTTAACATTTTGGTGAAAAAACTCCCATACTTTTTTCCACCTTTGTTGTTGTAGTACTACTGAATTTTAAATGCCTTGCCCTCCACTAATAAAACAGAAGGCCTAGTATATTCTACCTACCTAGCTTTTTTTTTACCACCTACGTATTTTTGTTCAGGCTGAAAATTTATAATTAACACCATAATTAACACCATAGCTTTCTGAATAGCAGTATATACCTAATTGTCTCAAAAGTTCAGGCACTTCTTCATTTTTGTCCCCTCTACTTCAAATTCTGTAATCATTACTTTAAACATTTTGAATGAGAAAGTCTATTATCAGAGCCTTTTGGTTCTTCCCTGCCATAGGGAATATTCCTCAGTGCTTTACATTATAATGGCTAAATAAACTCACTAACCAGACTTAAAGGACAGGTTTAACTTTAGTCATTATTCAGCTTTTAAGTTAAATGTTTAATAGTTCAGTTTGAAAAGCCTATCACATTAATTTTCCCACCTAAATTATTTGAAGGAATTGCCAGAAACGTCTTTTCATTATGGGGTAGCTGCATTTTAAATAAGCTTTTGAAAGCTTGTCCTGAGAAAACAAACTGTCCTCTGTAGTGTTGCTTTTATGAATTCATACATTCCAAATGTTAAATAAATGGTAAATCTTACCACTTTTGTCAGACTGTGTTCGTCCTTTAAGGCAGTGGTTCTCAAATTGTGTTCCATGAACCATGCAGGTCCCGAGGCCCTTCAATGGGTCCTCAACAAATCTGTTTTTGTAATAACATTAAGGTAATATTTGCCTATTTTACTGTGTTGAGAAGTGCAAAAGTGATAGCGGATAAAACTAAGTGATAGTGGATTTTAATTAACAGTGTGAAAAGGTCATTAATAGGATTTCAGAGTCTGCATTGCAACTGACATTAAGAGATTGCATAACTTGTCAAATGTGGCCTAGCATCAAAGAACAATATCTGTAACTAGGTGAAAAATTAAATATATTTTAAATGTAAGCTCAATATGTATTAAAATATACTCCCTTTTCCTACTACATATCTAAGTTAGCCTGAATTTTCTTCATATACTTCAACAAAAACAACTTATCACTACAGATTGAATGCAGAAACAGAAAAGAGGAGCCACTGTCTGGTTTCACATCAAGCCAAACATTAAAAAGATTTGCAAAAAATGTAAATCATTGGCACCCTTCTTGCTAAATTTCTTTTTTTACTTTGGAAAATACTGTTTTTTAATAAAAGCATTCACTTAATGTGTTATGAATTTTTATTTTCAAATGAATTCATAAAAATTTTAAAGTTCTTTAGTTTTCATTTCTTATATGCTACATATTGGTAGATATAAGCAGTGTAAACCACTGGTTCTCAATCGGGGTGATTTTTGCCCTTCACAAGGCATATGGCATTTGGCAATATCTGGAGGAGTTTTGTTTTTTTTTTTTAATTACATTGTTTTAGAGATAGAGTCTTGCTCTGTTGCCCAGGCTGGAGTGCAGTGGCACAATCATAACTTACTACAGCCTGGAACTCCTGGGCTCAAGCAATCCTCCCATCTCATTCTCCCAAAGTGTTGGGATTACAGGCATGAGCCACCATGCCCAACTGATAATTTTGATTGGGAGGGTGCTACTGGCATCTAGTGGGTCAAGACCAAAGATGCTACTAAATATAATACATAGTACAACCTCCCCAACAAAGAATTATTTAGTCCGAAATGTCAGTAGTGTCAAGGATGAGAAACTCTGATGTAAACAAAAGATTGGATCTTCAGTAAAATTTTTAAGGGTATAAAGGTGTGTAAAGACTGTAAAGACCAAATTATTTTAGACCAATTATTTTAGCTTTGAAATAAAGTGCTCGTGTGGGATTTCAAATAGAGTCAAATACCTCTTCAAGTACACAATAGGAAATCCCACATGAGATTTGTTCACAATAGGAACAAATGAGGATTTGTTCACAATAGGAAATCCCACATGAGAACTTCATTTCAAAACTAAATATCAATAAAATATTTACTTCCGGCCAGGTGCAGCAGCTCATGCCTGTAATCTCAATGCTTTGGAAGGCCAAGGCAGGAGGATTACTTGAGGCCAAGAGTTTGAGACTAGCCTGGGCAACATAGAAAAACCCCATTTCTACAAAAAAAAATTTTTTAATTAGCTGGGTGTGGTAGCATGCACCTGTAGTCCCAGCTTCTCAGGAGCCTGAGGCAGGAGATCACTTGAGCCAAGGAGTTTGGGGCTGCAGTGATTGCTATGATTGCGCCACTGCACTCCAGCCTGGGTGACAGAGTGAGACCCTGTATCTAAAAAAAGCAAAATTTACTTTTCTGATGAATTTGTATGTTTTCATGTGGGCAGTGAAAACTATGTGATATGGTTTGGCCATGACCCCACCCAAACCTCAAGTTGAATTTTATCTCCCAGAATTCCCATGTGTTGTGGGAGGGACCCAGGAGGAGGTAATTGAATCATGGGGGCCAGTCATTCCCGTGCTATTCTCGTGATAGTGAATAAGTCTCACGAGATCTGATGGGGTTTATCAAGGGTTTCTGCTTTTGCTTCTTTCTCATTTTTCTCTTGCTGCCACCATGTAAGAAGTGCCTTACACCTCCCGCTATGATTCTGAGGCCTCACAGCCATGTGGAACTGTAAGTCCAATTAAAGCTATTTTTATTCCCAGTTTCGAGTATGTCTTTATCAGCAGCATGAAAACGAACTAATATAGTAAATTGGTACCAGTAGAGTGGTGTGCTGCTGAAGAGATATCCAAAAATGTGGAAGCGACTTTGGAACTGGGCAACAGGCAGAGGCTGGAACAGTTTGGAGGGCTCAGAAGAAGAAGGAAAATGTGGGAAAGTTTGGAACTTCCTAGAGACTTGTTGAATGGCTTTGAACAAAATGCAGATAGTAATATGAACAGTGAAATCCAGGCTGAGGTGGTCTCAGATGGAGATGAAGAACTTGTTGGGAACTGGAGAAAGGTGACTTTTCTTATGTTTTAACAAAGGGATTGGAGGCATTTTGCCCCTGCCCTAGAGATTTGTGGAACTTTGAACTTGAAAGAGATGATTTAGGGTATCTGGTGTAAGAAATTTCTAAGCAGCAAAGCATTCAAGAAGTGACTTGGATGCTGTTAAAAAGCATTCCATTTTAATAGGGGAACAGAGCATAAAAGTTCAGAAAATTTGCAGCCTGACAATGCAGTAGAAAAGAAAGACCCATTTTTTGAGGAGAAATTCAAGTTGACTGCGGAAATTTGCATAAGTAGCAAGGCGCCTAATGTTACTCCCCAAGACCATGGGGAAAAATGTCTCCAGGCCACGTCAGAGACCTTCACGGCAGCCTCTTCCATCGCAGGCCTGGAGGCCCAGGAGGGAAAAGTGGATTTGTGGGCCGGGCCCAGGGTCCCTGTGCTGTGTGCAGCGTAAGGACTTGGTGCCCTGTGTCCCAGCTGCTCCAGTTATGGCTGAAAGGGGCCAACATAGAGCTAGTGCTGTGGCTTCAGAGGGTGAAAGCCCCAAGTCTTGGTAGCTTCACATGATGTTGAGCCTGCAAGTGCACAGAAGTCAAGAATTGAGGTTTGGGAACCTCTGCCTAGATTTCAGAAGATGTGTAGAAATGCCTGGATGCCCAGGCAAAAGCTTGCCACCGGGGCGGGGCCCTCATGGAGAACCTCTGCCAGGGCAGTGCAGAAGGGAAATGTGGGGTTGGAGCCCCCACGCAGAGTCCCTACTGGGACACTGTCTAGTGGAGCTGTAAGAAGAGGGCCACCATCCTCTAGACCCCAGAGTGGTAGATCCACCAACAGCTTGCACCGTGTGCCTGGAAAAGCCTCAGACACTCAACACCAGCCCATGAAAGCAGCCAGGAGGTTGGCTGTACCCTGCAAATCCACAGGGGCGGAGCTGCTCAAGACCATGGGAACCCAGCTCTTTCTTCACTCTTTCATCACCGTGACCTGGATGTGAGACCTGGAGTCAAAGAAGATCATTTTGGAGCTTTAAAAATTTGACTGCCCTGCTGGATTTCGGACTTGCGTGGGCCCTGTAACCCCTGTTTTGGCCAATTTCTCCCTTTTGGAACAGCTGTACTTACCTAATATCTGTACCTCCATTGTATCTGGGAAGTAACTAGCTTACTTTTGATTTTACAGGCTCATAGGCGGAAGGGACTTGTCTTGTCTCAGACGAGACTTTGGACTGTGAACTTTTGGGTTAATGCTGAAATCAGTTAAGACTTTGGGGGACTGTTGGGAAGGCATAATTGGTTTTGAAATGTGAGGACGTGAGATTTGGAGGGGCCGGGGCAGAATGATATGACCATGTCCCCCGCAAATCTCAGTTTGAATTGTGTCTCCCAAAATTCCCATGTGTTGTGGAAGGGACCCAGGGGAAGGTAATTGAATCATGGGGGCCGGTCTTTCCCATGCTATTCTCATGATAATGAATAAGTCTCATGAGATCTGATGGGTTTATCAGGGGTTTCCGCTTTTGCTTATTCCTCATTTTTCTCTTGCCCACTGCCATGTAAGTAGTGCCTTACACCTCTTGCCATGATTCTGATGTCTCCCTAGTCATGTGGAACTGTGAGTCCAATTAAATCTCTTTCTGTTCCCCATTTTGGGTATGTCTTTATCAGCAGTGTGAAAACGAAATAATAAACTATGTAACTACACAAAACATCTCCCTATTTGCCTAGGCTAGTAAGCAGCCCAGAGCCCAATCTGGTGTTCACTACTATGTATGTAAATATAGCCTGCATACCTGTATCTGTCAGCAGCCACCATCCCAACATACACACCATCTTTATTCTATTTCCCTGGTCCTGACTTTTTGTTATTTAACTTTTGGCATTTTATTGTTTTTAAATCCTATAAACCCTCCTCAAATCCTTTATAAAGGATAGGCAGAGTATGAAAAATATTAAGTTAGGTTCCAACTGTATTGGCAACCCTAAAAGAAAAGCACCTTGACATTTTATTTTAACATATTTTAAGCAACATCTGAAGAGATAATAAACTTTTGCATCTGTCATATATTCATTGGATGCCTTCTCTGTGCCAGGCATAATACTTGGCATTGGGGATATGATACGAGCAAGCTTGGGCCCTTGCTTTTGTAGAGCTTCAATCAACCTAACAGTAATAGAGAACCTTTTAACAGTCACTTTGTGAATGAGTTTACTAATGAGTATTAAGCAGATTATCAGTGGGTTTTTGGCAGCTCATTCAGAGGCACATAAGGGAAGGTAGTAGTATTAGGTCATGTAAATAGAGCAAATACAGAACTCGAAATGGAAGTGAAGAAATCTAAGTTCCATTCCTTTATCCCAAAAATTGTTCTTCCTGAGGTGAAGCGACAGAATGAAAAAGATTTACTGTCTTACCAGACTTTAATGGAATATTGATCATTTAAAAGACATATTTTTTTTGGCATCTGACCCTCAAAATGACAGTATATAACACATTCTTAATCATGTCTGGTTTAGATTAATAGTTAAATTTGTTTTAATCCCATAACATATATACTAAGTTAGGAGAAAGGGGATTCAATGTTGATTTTTACTGCTGATTAAAGTATGTTCATTTGGTAACATGCTATAGGAATTGGAATTAAAGGGGACTTATCCTTTCAATATTGGATTAGAATTAGAATTTTCATACTTGAGTATTTTGTTAGCAGACTTGTTAAAGACAATTCTCTCTTTGTTACTAATATATAAAGTAGATATGTAAAAGCAGACTTTAATTTGTAATTTTTTAAATGTATATATCACATTGATTCTCAACTTTGTCCTCTTATTTCAGGTTTTTTTATTCATTATTCTTCCCTGGGCTAATTGTATGTGGAACTTTATGTGTGTGTTTGGTCATTGTCCTTTGGGGAATCAGACTGCTGCTACAGAGAAAGAAAAAATTAGTGTCAACTAGCAAAAATGGGAAAAATCAAATGGTGATTGCATTTTTTCATCCATACTGCAATGCTGGTGGAGGAGGAGAAAGAGTTTTATGGTGTGCTTTAAGAGCCCTGCAGAAAAAGTAGGTATCCATCTTTCTTAGCTAATTTGCTATATTGTTCCATTTCTTAAAAATTATTGCCTAGAAATTCATCTTTCTTTTTTTTTTTTTTTTTTTTTTTTTT